AAACTGGGATGATATGATACAGGAAACTGATGTCGATGAAGTGGTTGGTAGGCTCGAAAATACCATCCTAGGGCACCTGGATAGCTGCATGCCTCTGAAAACAGTGCGCATGTCTTCAAGAGACCCGGGCTGGATGACTCCGCTCGTTCGATCGATGATACGAGCCAAATCACGCATATCACTCAGTAATCTAGACCGTCTTAAAGTTATGAATAAAAGGATCTCTGAAGTGATTTTCAGAAACAGAAGGGACTTTATCGCCTCTATTGGAACTCGGGATTGGTGGAAAAAGTGGATAAAACATCTCAGCGCCGCAAGCCGGTGATTTCTCTATCTCTTGGCCACTACGAACTCAACGCGTTAAATGACTACTTTGGTGACCTATGTACTGACCACGCCTACAGAAAGCCAACACCTCTGGAGATTAGTGAAGATCAGGAAGTCCCAGAAATCTCAGAGCGACAAGTCCTGAATTCTCTTATGCGTATAAAGAAAACAGCAACCGGACCAGATGGCATCCCGTATACTATATGGAAAGACCACGCCGAGCTATTCGTTCCAGTGATCACCTGGATTTGGAATCTGTCTCTTAGAACACACGCCTGGCCTGTCTCTTGGAAAAAGTCAGACCTGTACCCCTTGCCGAAGGTTGATATACCTAAGGGAATATCAGACTTCCGCGGAATAAATGTGACACCTGTCATCGCAAGGTGCTTTGAGAAAGCTGTCTTAGGAACACACGCAAGGGAGACCTTCGATGAACATTCTGGGATCTCACAGTTTGCATACATAGAGGGAGGGAGCTGTACCAATGCTCTACTGACTATCCAACATACTGTCAATCAATATCTTGATATCCCAGAGTGCAAAAGCGGTACGCCTATTCGCTATGGATTTCAGCAAGGCTTTTGATAGTGTGAAACACGATCTCCTCTCACACAAATTGAAGCAACTCCCCCTAAATCCTTTTATAGTTAACTGGTATCTAAGCTTTTTGGAAGACAGGCAGCAGAGAGTCATTAGAAATGGGTTTATTGGAAAATGGAAAAGTGTCAACAAAGGTACCACCCAAGGAAGTGTCAGCGGGCCGCACTTGTTCAATGTCTTTCTCAGTGATTTAGAGATACACTTGGACAATAAGAGCGTGCTGGTAAAATATGCAGATGATACAACCATTATCTCGCCTGTGATAGGTGATAATGACAATTCTATCGCACTGATTAATCAGTTTTCCCAGTGGTCTAGAAGTAATGGTATGTGTAGCAATCCATCTAAGTGCAAGGAAATCATTTTCCGCAAGAAAGGTTGTACAATAGAGTTTCCGATGGTGTCTGGAATACCACAGACAAAAGAGCTTACTATTTTAGGGTAACATTTCAGGAAGACAGTAGGTTCATAACACATATTCGGGAAAAACTAATTAAAGCAAACAAGTGCCTGTTCATTTTAAGATCTTTAAGGAAAGAAGGGTACAATCAGGCCGAAATAGACCATCTGTTTCTAAATCTGGTTCTACCAAATATATTATACGGGTTGTCCGTATTTGGCGCTGTAAATTCCGAATTAACAACAATCCAATGTTTCTTAGATCGATGTTATAAGCGCAAGTATACATCCGATCACATTAATGTTTATGAATTGTTAGTTCAACAGGACACGCGTATCTTCAAGAATGTTTTTAATAATACAATACACCCTTTAAGAGCTATAATGCCAAAAAAGAAATTAACCAAGTACAATCTGAGGAAAGAGACAAGTCACCATCCTAAAATAAACACTGATAGGTTCAAAAACACGTTTGTTAATCGCTTAATTTTTAAACATAATCTAGTCTTATAATTTTTATCTTATTTTCTCTGTAATTTATATATATACCTTCTTTTAATGTTGTAACATAGGATATGTGATTATTTATCTTATGACTTAATAAAGATTCAATAATAATAATAATAATAATAATAATAATAATAATGAAGCGATCATTACGCTATAAACAGCTTTCCCAGTTTGACCTTACGAAACATGTTTATCACGCAAATATTTGCTAGAACCTTTACATGTCACAGATGGCCCATCGACTCGGATACGCAAACTAAGCAAGCTACTCCAAGGGTTTCGACCGTAACAACTTTAGTTACTTCTGACGTTCTGAAGATGTTTGACCAAAAATGCCGTATTGTCATTTAGAGTTACTTAGTCTATCGGACGTGGGTTGTAATTTAAAACTGGAAATAACTGTTCTCAACGACAATGAAGCGATCATTACGCTATAAACAGCTTTCCCAGTTTGAACTTACGAAATATGTTTATCGCGCAAATATTTGCTAGAACTTCGTTAACACTGGCTCACACATTCTACTTTGGGGCTAAAATTTTACTACGCGTGCAAACACTACAGCTATCCAATTTCTATCAATGCTTTATGTCAACATTAAACATCTTGCATCCTGTTCTTCATGAAATAACGAGTACACATCTCTTTTGCGCTCTTTTCGTTGAATATTACAGTGATCAAATTCCAGAACAGTTCTATTTAACAAATAGAGAAGCCTTGACTATGCTCTGTTCTGTTGTAAAGCACGCAGAAAGCGGCTAGAGCTTGAAAGAAGTGTAGGGAGAAACACGAGACGTAGTCTTCTTCTCCACTCGAAGGTACTACTTGCCGGCTCGCTTCTTCCGAAATTTCACTTTCAATCAACGAAAAAAGGCTAGAGAGAAGTCCCAGAAAAGGTCGGACATAGTACAATTTGGCAGATAGCGTGACAGGTTTGGCTCGGCTCTATGCTCGATACTCTCATAGTGCACGCTCTTTCAACCAATTATATCCAAACTTTATTATAAAGTTCAGTTGTGTATTCTTTGCTGGCCGAACGATCCTTTACCAAGGCTTCGATCGAAGCTTTATCCATTACGATCATTACTTCCGTATATTTCGATAGGACTCAAACTCTCTGTTGAAAGAGTATGGAGTCAAACGTCCTCACTCGTGATTTCCCCTTTCTTGCACGTGTAGCTGACCATGTCACGCTACTTCAAAGTTGAATGTGATCTAAGCTAGAGAATACAATGAAATTTTGGTCAAAAACTGTTCAAAAACACAGACTTTAATCTCTGCAGACGTGGCCTCACGCCTTATTCAATAAAAAAATTATTTCTCTTCCCAACATGCTTCAGACATGTGTGTGTGTCATCCTCGTGCTCTGTTAGTTTTCGTGTTCATTATGTTGCTACTTTTCTTTTCAATGGTTAACGCAGGTAAGTTTTTGCTTGCAATGTATTCGGAAACAAAAGAAATATAGTTTTAATTCATTTACGATTTAGCATTACCAAAGAAGTGCTCTTAAGCACGCTCTAAACTTGCTATACTGTAAAACTTACGTTTACGAGTTTTAACTGAAAAAAAAATTGTGTGACGCGCTCTTTCAGCACCTCTCATTACATCCTCGTAAAGGAGGAAATGACTTCTGCGGAAGTGATTGCAAACTTATCCTTTCCCAAAAAAATCTCTAAATAAACCATGCAGTCTGTTTTTTATTATAGCTCACTATTCTTCCAGCACATTCATTATACTTAATGAAGTGAGTATTATGAGGTGAGTACAATTTATTATACTCAAAGGAGTGTTCTTAAACACCCTCTAAACTGGCTACACCATACAACTTACGTTTACGAGTTTTAACTGAAAAAAATATTGTGTAACATGCTCTTTCAGCACCTCTCATCATATCCTCGTTAAGGAGGATATGATTTCTGCGGACGTGATTGTAAACTTATCCTTTCTCAAAAAAATCTATAAATAAACCACGCAGCGTGTCTTTATTTCAGTTCACGATTCTCCAAGCACATTCATTATACTCAAAGATGTGTTCATCTGTTGTGGTGTTGCTTTTCGCGGTGGCTTTTCCGTTAGAGATTATTGAAGCAGGAAAGGTGAGCGAGTTTCAAATCTGTCGTGTTAAAATTACTTTGACGAGCTGTCGTTTAGTAAACATCTTAAACAGAGGGGACGGTTTTGAACGTGACTTTCACTGGCACACCGTTAGGATTAAAGAAGCCTAATAGCATCAAATAGACAGAGAATCGAAATTTCTCAGGCGCGGTGCCTACAGTAAAAAGCACAACTCTCGAACTGTGAAACCAAAACGCCACCAAAACGCACCAATAACGCTAAACCAAGGTGTTATATATAGCAACAAGAAAAATGGCCATGAAGCAGTCAAGATCGCGATCAACACAATTGTGTTACAAAAAGTCAATAGCCTGACTCTGTATCACGAGATGAACGAGCTAATGTTCATTTATACGTTCGCTCTTACATTGAGTCTTTATTGGAAATTTCCCCTCGAGCTGATGGCCGTTCTAGCCACTTTAGCTGTGGTCCGTCAACACCCCATCGAGAAGCTCTCTACTACGGAAAATAAATGTTGTGAGGAGTCTTGATAGCTTGAGGTTCAGGTTTTTTCACCAGCATTCCCCCATTGTTTCATCCCGAGGTTATTCAACACTTTGCAATATGCATTTATTATTTTGACGCTCAATATTGGAATTTCCCCGGTTATTTTTTCTTATCTGGGAACCGAAGCTGACTTTCGGTTCACCAAATGTTCCTTCTTAGGTTTTCTAGTTTAACTAGGTGGTCTCAACACAAAAAAATCTTTTTTTTTTTTATTTAGGTCCCTCTCAAAAACAAGTTTGTTTTCAAGCAAATTTTTTTACAGCATGTTTTGTAGTAATAATTCTCAAGCTCAGCAAACCTAAGCAAACAGGTCCGCACTTTGGGTGCTTTGAGAAGTTAATTGTTGATCATAACTTCATTCAAAGTTAGCGCCGGGTACATCTGTAAACGGAGTGGTGGTTGATTGGAAAACACAGACGGTGTTTCTCGGAATTGGGAAAATTAAGTAAACAGCCATATACTACTGGTCAGTGGCACTTGCTGAACGTGATAAGCTCATAGCCACATTCCTAATTCTTTTATTGTATTTGTCTCAGTTTTCTCAGGAATCCACCTGGGAAAAAATAACTTCATAGCCCGATCCTGCCTGGACTATTTAAAAAATGGAGTGTTTGAAAACGGTTTCTATTGGCTTTTCGACGATAAGTACCAACGATACGTTGCTTACTGCGACCTTGAATCGGAGCCGGGTGCAGCCTGGACCCTTGTCATGTCTTGGAATCGAGCGTCCAGAAGCCTACGCCAATTCAGAAGCAGCACTTTTGCACAAGACGCACCAATTAACCACAAGACGCCGAACTGGGACTCATACCGACAGACGCTCTCTCGGATGAAGGGCCTCCGCAGTACATCGACACACTGGCGAGCAACCTGCAGCTTCAATCACCTTGATAACATAGATTACCGAGACTACGTAAGGGGAAGTTTCAGCAACAACGATATCATGGGTTTTCTTGGACACGGCCAATGCCTGTTGGTGGACTACGTAAATATCCGTGGACATGCAGCTGGGCCTGGTACAACAGCAAGGTTCTGGCAGGTTCATAACACCTACATGCTTCACATCGACAGCAGTGCTACTGGCTGTGGGTTCGTGCCCACTGCTGGGTCTTCACCCAGTGAGGACAACTTTGGTTTTAACCAGGCTTTCAATACCAATTTCCGTTGTAACGGAGGCGATTTTTCCACAACACAGTGGTGGTTTGGTGGATACCTGGCTGAATAACCGATCAAATGCTGTGATTGTCTAGCATTACGCAAATGGAATTTATCTAAATGGACGGAAATTTGATTGATTAAATAGGAATGCAAAATTCTTGACTTTAAAGTTGACTCACGAAACGACTCTAACAGGCAACTAAAGGTTTATGAAATAGTTTACAATTAGTAGATACTGAAATATAGTACCTTTTATCCGAAATAAACCGAAAATTCATGTTAAAAAATATTTTTGTGTACCGTTTGCTAGTTTTTTTACCTTATTTTTTTTTGTTGTTGTTGAAGCGCAAGATTGATTTGTTATACGTACAAAACGTGCACCACTGTTCATGTGCCACGCACTCAATTTAACCAAAAAAAAGGTTGTATCGTGCCTAACTAGCCCTGCAAAACCTTCAAAAATCTTTTCGAGCAATATTTATCAGTCGAAAGTTTGTTGGTTTGTTAAACTTTGTTTCAAAACTGACAGCTTCCACAGGATAGTTTTATTAAAGAGGAATACGTCATTTTGCTCGCAGAAAAACAACCGCACTTTCTAACTACGCGTTTGATTGAAACCAAACACAGGCCAATATACATACACCCTGCAGAAACCAGTCTTCAATCGGCTCGAGGCATTCCATGGCTGAACAACAATCGCCTCACGATTACTTTGTACACCATTAAAATGATAAATTTTTTTTTTTTGCTTCGACCTGTACCTTGCACTTAGAGAGAAGTGGTTTGAATGAGTCATAACGTGTAACTTGAATAGTCGACCTACAATCGGTGCTATGCGTTCATCGACAATCAACTTATCCTCAGGGTACACCAGTGGAAACGGATCATATTGATGTAAATTTACGCTACCCACTCCCCAACGAGGCAAAATAGTCATGGCGATGACTTTTCGAACAGGAACACTTCTTCTTCCATTCGGCAATAATCCCTTAGCATTACCAATAAAAAAAGGGTTATTGTGAGATGTTTAATGTGCGACAAGTTGAGCCAAAGAAAAAAGCATAAAACAAAATTTTCCGTATGAGGGACGTGCGCGTTCGCACGCACGCGGCGCGGGAAAAAAACACACGGCCAGCGAACGCCTCTGCGAGATACATAATGCAAAAATAAAGATGACAAAATCGTATCATAAAATACTTATTGACTAAGTTATGATCGGTCGTGACGTACAGGCCTTTCTGCCCTCGGTCTCTACATCCGGGCCTCGAACAAAATATATTACTATCCTGGCCTCCCAAGCATTCACTAAGTACATAATATATTTTGTATCATTTGTCAGTTAACTAATATCTGTGGTTCATCTCATTTTACAAACTCTTATTAAAGCGACATGACGGTTCGTGTGTCGGTTTCATAGCGCCCGCAAGAAATGGGTCTCACGTTGTACCTTGAAGTCAGAACTGAGGAGACCGCCCCGGGAAAGGCTCTTCTTCAAACGAATTTTGATAAGAAACGAGTTCGCACATAACTATAAGGATTAGGAGTTCCGCAACGCGACCCCAGTGAAGTAACTGTAGTCATCTATGGTAAAAGCAGGACATATCCAAAAAGTGGCATAGGTGAGCACAGTCGTCATGTCATAAAATTAACGCTCTTCCGTCAATAATCCTACAGTAAAAAAAATCCGATAATTTGGAGTCTTAAAGAGAATTGTTCTCTCTTTCGATATTTTTCTTTCTTTTTCCGCATGCAAACGAAACATACAGATATGAAGACGTACCTGCAAATACTTGATAATTGATCAGGAACCAGTTATTTATGAACCAGTTATAATGTATCATTCCTCGAAAGGAAGTTTCGTCTTTGAAATCCATTTTTTGTTCTTGATTTTATGAAAGCAATGAAATCTGCACTGCAAGGCTAAAACTAGTCTGGCATATTTCAATTCCCAGGGATACAGGTAAGGAGTTGAATGAACGAATTTCCATTTAGATGCAATTTCACACTGAAGAAGACGATCACGATATACAACATTTGTAAGTTAAACACGCAAAAGGCCGGTGAATGTTGTCGTTGGTAAAACCGCCGTGGACACACAAAGAAAAAGACTATTTCCAAATTTAACCGTGTTAAATTTTCCCTGAGTAAAATATATCGACACCATTCCCGCAGAACGTTTTAATTCACAAACAAAGCTTTTGAAAGTCTTGAACATCAATGTATGAAAAAAAAAAAGTGTCAATATTCTTTATTAGTTTTCTGTCGTTTTACACTGTTTAGGCGAAAAGATTTCTACTATGTTCTCTGAGCTGGACTCCATCTTTTTTTTTTTATTATTCGAAAGCGCTTTACGTTTCAGTCTTCACATTGTACCCACCTTTAGACCTGCAGTCTGTAAACCTATGACTAAATCAACTATCTCAGTACCTAGAGTACTCTTCTCTTCAAGCGGGAAAGGGAAACTCAAAGAGAAATGTAAATTTGAGATATGCAGTCCTCAATTTTTATAAGTATTTTAACTGCTGTGTAATTCTGTTTTGCAAAAACTCCCAATGTGGGAATAATAAATATGTGTCACACATGGGCATACGAAAAAAAAAACACATGAAAATTTAACAATAATCCCCTCCTGTAATCGTTCCTCGTAGAAAGCGAGAACTTCAAGAAAATAGTTGGTCATTGCCTACTTCTACTGCTAGAATAGATTTTAGAACTTTATCCTAGAATCTTTTCAATGGAAATAGAACGCTGCTCATGTTAGAAACCCTTTCCCAAATGAAACTTTGCTTGCTTGTTCTGGCTGAAGGGGCATGCTAACTGGGAAAGTAATAGACAATCACTTCTCGTTTAACTGCCACATACAATCGTGAATTCATGGTATTAAAACTACTGTACAACTCCAGTAATCCAAGAGTTTAGAACTCGCACATCAGCATAAACGCCGTATTTATTTGGGACTGCACAATGTTTTCCCCATGATATGACGCCCACGAGGTACCATTGTCCTTCATATTCACAAGCTAGCGGTCCACCGCTATCTTTTTGACATGCATCAATCCCTCCATCCTTGTATCCGGCGCACAAAGCCGTCTTTGGAACAGTCCCATCGTAGGATTTCTTTTTGTTACATTCCGTTCGCGAAACTAAACGTACCGGAGCTTCTTGCAAAAACTCCGACGGTGGCTTGTTCCATCCCTTTGATCCCCATCCTGTCACATAGCAGATTTTCCCGGGGGGGAATGCTAAGCCATTCACGGGGAGACAGATAGGTCGCACAAAGCTATTATAGGTTACTGGGCTTGAAAGTTCAAGAAGAGCTGAAATAAAAAGGAAAGCTATGAAAAAAATTCTCGCCATTCATCCATATGAACAATAATTTTTATCTGGAAAATCTGGAAAAACATTGTTCGCGGCGTCTTAATGGGTGAACGATGCTTTTCCAATAGTAACTAGTGTGGGAAACATCGCCACCGTTTGGGCGAAACCTTGCGAACCAAGACGTTGAAAAGATATGTGGACGCTGATTGGGGTGACAGTTTAACACCTTGAAGCAAAGCCACTTTGTTCAAAGGCAACGAAATGTAAAATGTTTTCCCTGGAAGAACTGTGAAAATTCCAGGAGAGGATCTGAACAAATACGAGTGGGAGTTTCTTATCTGGGAGAAATAAGGAGGAGCGACTATTCTGCCATTATCACAAAGGACCTCTACTTGGTGAATATTAACATAACGCTTCGTGACTCAGTCGGTGGTTGTGCTCAATGAGTATCAAGGAGGTAGGGATTCAAATTCCGTCGACCCCGAATTCAGTTTTCAGGACTCTCTTCCTACAATTTCTTCAGTTTAGTTTAGCTATGAGAATAATTTCGTTATTTTTTTAAAATCATCCAGCTTGCACTCTAATTATATTTTATAACAATCATTTCCTGATGAGGATTTTTTCCCCTATCGTAGGGTTTTGACTCACCTACATCATAATCTGGAGGCTGAATAAGCACACCTTGAACAGTTTTACCCCAGTACTTTGGGTGCACGATGATGTTCTTTACTCCTCTCACTTGTTGAAACTCTTTCGACTCTGATGAAAGAGGATTGGCACCAAGTTTAACTTTCCAGCGAGTTGGATCCTTTGTTGACCGATAATCTGTTTAAATATAGATATATTTCAGACAAAGTTATCATCCTGGTTAGGAGGCGGAAATTTAATATTCAAGGATACAATGACATGACTTTTGCTTTAAGAAATACTAGCGAGCTCTTTTCGATGGAAGAAGGAAGTTCCTTGTTTGGCGTCTGTGTGAAATTCCTAAATTTTTTTCTGGCCTCTCATTAGCTGAGGTGTTTCGGTTAGAAACTCATTTACGACCATTTTCGTCATATATTATTAGAGTACCTTGGATTTTTCGCGTCATTCACACACCTGTGAAACAATGGCAAGCAGTTAAAACCCAGTTAGGTCTGATAATTGAGCCTGCACACACTTGGACATCATCCAGCATTAAAGCAACCTGCCAAGGCCATGCACCGTCACTGCTTACTCTCCCACCCACTATTCGCTTGTCTATCACATTGTTTCTTGTAATAGCCATTCCATAGTAATTACTGGTTGTTGAGTGAAGAATACGTTGTCCACAAGAGTCCATACCTTAAATCAAAAAGGAGAACAGAATGATATTTCTTGGCCTCCTTGAATATTTTGGGATTATTTGTATCAGGAGGATGGTATTGTAACTAAAAGGAGTGACAGATTTCATTTCACAAAATAAACTTAAAACTTGAGAGAGCACAACTTCCTTCAGTGATATTTTCCGAATAATTTATTAAGAATGGTAAGTTTGTGTAAAATTAATTTCGAGCATACTAGACGGATGGGTACACAGTGATGACGGACGAAGTGTTGATGAAGGCGGACTTACGAGAGAAGTGAAGAAAGGAAGACAAGGTAAATCTTAGAAAGCATAAGCTAAAAGGAAACATTTTTGGAGTTTCGTTGAAATTTTTTTCCACCTTGCTTTCAAATTCAACTGGTTCTCTTCTTAACGTAAATGAGCACGAAATCGAAATCTGC